GGGCCTGGGGTTTGGGTTTAGGGTTTGGGATTCAGGGTTTGGGGTTCGGGGTTTGGGTTCAGGGCATGGCAAAGGCGGCTCGAGCTCACCCTGAGCCCCGAAACCTCGTGCCGGATCCCCCTGTAGAATATAAGGTTTTGGGGTATATTATACTATAGTTTTGTCGGGCTCGCGGGCTTTAAATTAAGACTGTAGGGTTAGGGTTTAGAGTTTCGGGGTTAAGGCTTGAGGTTCTGGGATTTGAAGTTTTGAGGAGGCTCGGGTTGTTTTAAAAAGTAGCCGTTTTGGGCTGCAGGGTAGGGCTCTGTTCACGGATATTTTGAAACTCTCAGATCTAGATCTGCTCCTTGGAAGGTCCTTGTTCTTCATCGTGCTCATGGATCCTATTCGGGTTAGAGTGGGTTTGTTGGGGTCCAGACTCCTTCAATTATGGGCCCCTCATATTCAGGAATGCACTGACGCTTCAAGTTTTCCTAAGTTAGTGGACATTATGGAGTGTTTAGGACTTGGGCGCGAAACCCTCGAGCCTCGCGTCCCTGAGCCCTCAACCCTGAACCCTAAACCCCAAACCCTGAACCCTAAATCCCAAACCCTAAACCCCAAACCCTGAACCCTAAACCCCACAGCCCGACCTAAATCCCAAACCCCGAACCCCAAAACCCAAATCCCGAACCCCAAACCCTAAAAGCCCGAACTAAGTTGATACATTTGCTGACTCGCGGCTCTGAGGGACCAAGCACACAGGGGGCGGGGATTGCAGCCCGTGGTTCTCCTTCCTGGCAGGCCGCGTTTAAGGCTTAGGGCTGAGGGTGTATGGGTTCAGGGTTTAAGGCTTATCGGGCTATAGGGTTCGGGGTTTAGTTTAGGGCTTTGGGCTAGGGCTTTTAGGTCCTTGGGGCTTCGGGTTTCGGACCAAACCCCAAACCACGAAAATCCTAATCCTCCTGCCAAAACCCGACACCTCTGATAATAGCATTTTGGTGTTTCTACCAAAAATTACTCCGACACCTATATTAATTATATCAACACCTCAACCCGAAAGCTGTATAGACATGTTATAGAGCCCTCAACCCCCCCTACACAACAGGTTTAGGATACCTTAGTGGTCAGGGGTTCGGGCCAATACTATTTTTTTGGGGGGGGGGTTCCTTACTATAGTCATAGTATAATGGGACCCAAAACCCGATTCTAATTATTAAGGGGGTGGGGCCTACACAGCTTCTCGCTACCTTGCCCTCCTTCAGAAGTTGCAGGCGCCCTTCTGAAAACAATGCTCATTTACGGAGAAAAGTGTCTTTTCTATGGTCTACATACGTATGCTACAGCGTCGTGGTTTGCTTTTAATTGCTCTGCTCGCTCCCTTCGTTCGAGAGCACCCTTGAGTGCGTACATAGTACAGAACCCCATCAGCCTATAAAACCCTCGCAAGGCCATACTAGAACCCTTCCAAACCCTCAGAAAGCCTGATGATAAAGCACTCAGAGAACCCATACAAAACCATAAGGAAGGGTTGTCCTTGCTTGCAACGTGACCACTTCTCAGGCCCTGATCTTGCAGTAGGAGCCTTAAAGAAGATACCTTCAATCCTCTGTCTCTTCTATCTAAGGGACCTCTAAACAGGACAAACGTAGTAGAGCACCTAGAAGCCTATAAGGAGGCCTATAAGGACCTCTAGACAACCTGAAAACCCAGCTCTGAGCAAACACCCGACTCAAAACCCGAAACCCACAACCCGCAACCCTAAACCCCTACACCCTACAGCGAATCCAGAAAGTTGGGACAGGGAATTAGGCGGATGAGTGCCAGGATCCCTTATACTTTACCTTAAGGGCATGAGGATAATCCTGTTCCATTTTTCTGGCTTCTACTATACACACCCGAAAAATCCTGAACCCTGCATAAACCCACCTGCTTCGAGCCAAGGTCTGTTGCCGTCTTCGAAGAGCTCAACTCTTCCTCGTTTTTAAACAGCCTTTATCCAGTTAGGGTTTAGGGTTTAGGGTTTGGGATTTAGGGCTCCGGGTTTAGACCCCCCGGATCTAGAAAGTAGATGCCCTTAGTTGGGACCCTATACTGCAGGGTGCTGTATAGGAAGCCCCATTGAGGGATCTGCTTGTTGGATCCTCCGAGAGTATGGAGGTCCCAGAAGGTTTGATAAGTGTCGCATACGATTTGTATGAGGCCCTTAACTAAGAATCACACCTCAAGTTGTAGAGGGATCCTTATCTATGCTGTATAAGGCACATTCCTTCCTCACTGGATTTATTGAAGAGGTCGGGCTCAGGGGGGCTAGGACTTTAGTCAGGGTTTCGGGGAGAGCTCGGGCCCCATGATGCGCGATAGGTCGAAAGCTCTTCCTACCACGCGGACACGAGAGGAAGCAAGCTAAGGTTCAGGTGTTTCGGGCTCAAGGGATTTAGATGCCTTCCCTAAACCCTAAACCCTAAACCCCTAAACCCTAAACCCTAAAACCCTAAAACCCTAAAGCCCTAAAGCCCTAAACCCTATAGGGTTTAGGGTTACGAGTTACTTTTTCCGGCTCGTGGGCTCTCCAAACCCTGGGACCTTGCAGCCTATCTATCCTAAGCACTGAGAGGCCTACGCGCCCTTAAGCTCTTATCCTTTTTGGTGGAGCCCTTCCTTTAGAGCCCCACCAGACTGATGGAGCACTACTGAAACGCGAGAAACGACCCCTTCCTTCCCCCCCAAACTTCTTCAAACCCTGAACCCTCAGTACCGGCGTTACCAAATCAACTAAGTAGCGCAAGTAGGGTGAGACGGTGAGACCACGTACCGCAAGTACCCAAGCCAAAAGTCGCCAAAGTACTGGGAACCTGCAATATCCTAAATCCTACACTACCCCACTGCCTACTCCCAGACCTTAAACGCGAGACCCGAAACTCTAAACCCTGCTTCCCTGTGGCCCAAAAGACCTACCTATTTAAGGAACTATATAAAGAAAATCAAAGAATACTAATACGAATACTAGTAATAGTAATAATATTAATGTTAAGAATAATAATGTTAAAAACAATAAGGAATCCGAAAATAAGGTAGGTACTTTACGATCCAGGTGAGACTTCAACCCCCGAAACCAGTGTCCTTGGACTTCACCGGTGACTCCTCTGCCTCGGCGAGCGACACCTCCTCTACGGCTTTCTTCTGGGTCTCCTTCCACGGGCAGCCTTTTGCCCAAATGGCTCAGGGTTTAGAGTTGGGGTTTATGGGTTCGGGTTCGGAATCCTTTCTGAAATTTATACAAGTTCTATCAAGATCTTGACCAGGCTTAGTCTGCTTCTATAGTTTTCGAGACGAGCTCCTATGTAGGAACTCTAAAGCCAATGCATCCCCTAGGGTAGTCATCCTCTGGAATAACGACCGGGCACCAATATCAAAAGGCTTCAGTACAGTACGTCCAATGTAGGGGCCTTAATAATTAGAATAGGGTTTCGGGCGTTCCTTATTTTAACTATAGTACGACATACCCCCAATCCTATTGTAACTATTTAAGCCTCCTATATAATCAGAGTCTAAGATGGAATCCTATGTCAGCTAGGGCTCTGGGGGAGGATATTGAGATCTGGTGCTTTACCGTGTCCAGGCGTCAGGTATAGTGAACCCCAGAAAGTTGGAACATGGATTTAGGAGGATTCGTGCTAGGATCCTTTATACCCAACCGTAAGGGCATGAGGATAGCAATGTTCCAACTTTCTGGCTTCTGCTTCATGTCATCCCTAAACCCTAAACCCCTAAACCCTAAACTCCTAAGCCCCTAAACCCCTAAACCCCTAAACCCCCAAACCCTAAACTCCCAAACCCTAAACCCCTAAACCCCCAAACCCTAAAGTCAAGTGTGAGGTCTCAGGGCTGCAGTGGGGGAGTTTAGGGTACATCGGGCTTCTATAAGGCTTCCATAAGGTATATAGACCTTCTGTAAGGCCCCCTGTATCGGTAACTACCCACCTGAAGATGTCCTAGACTAAATGTCCAGGCATTTCATGCTTTGCTGGTGCTCGGCTCTTTACAACATCTGTCGAGCGGAAAGCTTCTCTTTGAGGGTTTAGGGTTTAGGGTTCCTAAGCTGTAAAACCCAGAACCCGAAACCTAAATGACCTAACCCCATTGTTCGAAAACTCGAACGTGTGTCAGCAGTATGCATATGTTGCTATATGCAGGTGATCCCTTTCTCGGATGACTTCTGCCCTCAAAAACGGAACCTTAACATCCATGAATCTTTAAACCCTACACCCAACCCTAAGCCCTAAAACCCTAAACCCAACCCTAAACCCGAAACCCTAAATCCAATCCTAAACTCTAAACCCTAAACCCTAAAACCCTAAAACCCTAAAACCCTAAAACCCTGAACCCAAACCAGAACCCTAAGCACTCCGGCTGCCTCGGGGCTGACCGGCGTCTCTTCGACACTCTCCGCACAGACATGCCTGAAAGTGCAAGCAGCTAAAGAGCTGAGCTTTCTTAAGGTAGGGTTTAGGGTTTAGGGTTTAGGGTTTAGGGTTTAGGGTTTAGGGTTTAGGGTATATCTACGTTTTTAAGTTAACTTGGTACACTTCTCGATTCGTGCGTATCATCCTTGCGCAGGGGCCATGCTAATCTTCTCTCTATCGTTCCAAATTTATCGGATGATCCCCGAAGGATCTACACTTAGAGTTTAGGGTTTAGGGTTTGGGGTTTCCAGTAACATCTTATGTCTAAAATACAATATCCAATGCATAAAATCTAATATCCAGTATCTAATATATAACAGATGAGGGTCTAGAAGGGGAATTAGAATAGGGTTTTAGGGCATAGGGCCTGGGGTTAGGGTGTAGAGCTTTTTGGTGAAGGTGCTAATGGTTTGAGGAATGCTCATCTTGATACTCTACGCGTGTCGGCCTTTGGCCGTCTACCACGATTGCAACTTTGCAGATAATCCCGATGAGCGCATTTACAACGCCAATGTCGACAAGAAGCCAGAAAACAAGTAATCTAAACTGAACCCTCAACCTCATGGTACCAAGTACAGCAACTCTGTGTAAAGCCCATTTTGAGCCCTATGCACACACACACACACATATATATATATATATATGTACATATACATATACATATACATATATATATATGTGTCTGTATATATAGAATACTATGTACACACACAACCCTAAACCATAAAACCCATATTTTCCACCCACCTGAGCCAAGTTGCCTGTCATCTTTGGTCTCATTCCTCGCTGCCGCAGGAGTCGGTGAGAGGTCGGCAGCTTCTTGCGACTCTGCCGGCGAAAGGCTCCCGACCACAGCGACTTCCTCAAGCGATCCTGGGTGATGGGCTTCGGGTTTAGGGGGTTTAGGTGGTTTAGGGTTGAGGTTTAGGGTTTAGGGGCCTGGGGGTCATTTTCTGAGACATCCAACATGTCATGGAATTGCAGCTTCCTTTGCTCCCCACGCAGAAGAAAGCAAGAGTGACGTTCCCACGAGCCCACGCCTCCAAGAAATTGAAGTTCTACTTTCAGAAACGTTGAGCTTTGAAGAAGCACCCAGAGAGCGTCCAAAGACCCCTTTCTCAAGCAGGGCTTCGTCAGCAAGAAGAATAGTCCTTCAAGTCTGCAGGTCATCTATCTTCAGTCAAGAAATGCTGTTTGATTAAGGGCCCCTAACGCAATCCCTGGGTCTTGCAGCACCCTGTAAAAAGGCCCTGCAAACTCCTCCAGATTGTAAACTGCAAGACCTGTAGATATGAAGGAAAATCTCCAACGCGCAATGTAAGGGCCTTAATAATAATTTCAATAGGGTTTTGGGGTATATTGTACTATATTTATGATAAGGTAACCCCAAAATAGTTTTGGTAATTGTTCAGGCCCCCCATATTAACCCAAACCGAAAAAATGCACCAAACATCTGCACCAAGGATCGGCCCACTGTAGGCTTCTCCGACAAGTCGTTGGCCTCCTTACTCCTCACAAAAAGTTCATATAGGGGGCCTTATCAAGTAGAGCAGGTTTGGGGGTATATTATACCACGGTTGATGATATAAATCCTGCATTACCCATAATGAAGAGTATACCATTCTCCCATAGGTTAAGGTCCTGAAGGTAATGCAGGATTTATATCATCAGCAGTACAACCATAGTAAGGAACCCTAAGGAATAATGTTGGTAATTATTCAGCGCCTACATTAGGGGTTTGGGACTTCTGGGTTTCACGTGGCAGGGCGAGGTTAAGGGCTTCACGTTTGAGGTTTAAGGTTTTTTTTTTTGATCTACGGTAGTCGGACTTTTACCTCCGCACTAGCCACCTTGGGCTCGTAGAAGGTGAAACAAGAAGCAGCGAGATCAACCATGTCAAAGTCAAGGCACATCCCGCAAAACCCAGACACGGTCAAGCAAACTCGCACCATTGAGCTCGACAGTCACGAAGACATACTGGACGACGAAGCATAGTCCGCACCCATCTGTATCTCACCCTCATCATTGCCAACGCTGTTCTCATGCTCCACATTCCCATCATTGCCAGCGCTGTTCTCGTGCCCCACATCTTGTCCAGATCCACCATTGCCATCAGGGACACTGACGCCCCCAGGCAAAGTAGTCACCAACAAAGGCTGTGGCATTGGCGTAGCGACCAATGTTTCGTGATCTATCATGGTATGTGGGATCGCCACACCCTCACTTGTATCACCCGGCTCCATGGAACCATGTCCTCCTGTTGTAGCGGTCCGCGGACATGCGTCGGGACACCCACGCGCAGCGCTCACCCCACCATCAGCAGCTGCCACAGAGCTTGCAAGAGACGGCTGATGAGCAGCAGCGTCCATCATGTCAAGCACAGCAAGGAAGTCGCGAAGGAGGAGGTATGCGATACGTTGCGCCAGCATCTCGTCACGTCCCAGCAAGGGCTGCGCCCCTAGGTCCTGGTCAGTGCCATTGCGAAGGCGAGGTCGTACTCGTCTGTCCGTTGAAGGCGTCACCACCCCAGAATCAGGGACTGAGGTCACTGTACCATTGCTCGGGAGCGACGACGAGGTGGTGGTGGTGAACATGAGAGTCGAAGTTAATGTCGTCCCACCTACCTCAGAGGGATCCACAGAAGCAGCCGAAGTCACAGCGGATGCTGATGTCCCTTCCAAACCAGCAACCCCTGCCAGGTTCACCTCATTGTCCTGTGGAACCTCAGCCACCCCAGCTCCCTCACCGACATCAGGCCGAAGCGCAGGGGTCCCTTCATCGACCAGGGTGGGGGCAAAGGCAGACTTCGTGTCTTGCGCAGTCCCTTCAGACGGGACCTGTGTTAACCCAAGTCCACCAACTTGTCCGGAAAGAACGCCCCAGAGATGTCTCTCACGGAATGAAGGTTCTTCACCCCGGAGCCCTCTTTGCAATCGGATGGCATCCCACGTGTCTTGGAAAGTCCAATCATCGTCCCCTGGTTCTGGAGCTCGCTCAGGAACAACCTCAGGCCTGGGAGAGTATGGTCGCGCTGACGGGCGAGCAGCGGCAGCACGTTGGCGACGCCAGGGTGGTAGTGGTCGAGCTCGCGGTCCCGGCACGACCCCATTTGCTCTAAGAAGGTGATATAATTCACCCACAACCATCCTGATGATGTAGTCCGCCAAGGCACGCTCCCGCGGGGACAGATCAAGCGGCACAGGAAGGGAGCCAACCCCTCGCCCATCATCATCATTATTGTAGTCCGCATCAACCTCCGCATCGATTTCAGCGACCTCTTCCTCTTCGCAATGTTCCCCCGCCGTTTGATCCACCCATGGAATTCCATCCTCATCTGGCTCTGAAACGATCTCCTCAGGGACAACATCCTTTTCCGGCACGTCACCCTCAAATGTGGAGGGAGTAGTCGTAGAGGTCGAGGATGGCCACCATGAGACATTCACCCAGCTTCCTAAGCTCGTGGCAGTCGTGGTGGAGGAAGTCGTACCAGTCGCGAAAATCTCCGCCATGACGTCCTCTACCTCAGGCGTGTTGGCATATTGAGGGGTCTCCTCCACATCCCACCCCGGTGCTGATGGGATTAGTCGCGGCAGAGGTCTGCCATGTTCGTCGAAAGGCGTTTCCAGGCCGGGGTTGGGTAGAGGGACAGGTGGAATCAAGTGAGGAGTGGTGGGACAGAAAGAGGAACATGGGGCATCCGAAGTCGGCAGAACAGCATCGGGAGGAGGGCGCACAGGAGGCCTGACAGGCACCACACGAGCAGGGGCAACATCACGTGAAGAGGACGCCCCAGACGACTGAGAAGGCTGATCCACTTGCGAAAAGGCACGCTTGTGACTTGCCTGCGTGCCTATCGGCCTCCTGGTAACTGTGATCCCCATATTCGCCTGCGGCCCCGAAGGCAACGGTTGACGTAGGGCCTCCATCTGTCTGACGTTTTCCACATTGCGCCTGTGGGTCTCCCGCTCACGTAGTCCTTGAACAGCTGCATCCGTCCGGGCATCAGATTGTTGCAGGGCATGAACAATTATTCGCGAGATAAACCCTCTCCAACGACGCCCCCACTGTGCATATTGTTGGTATGACGACGCCGTAAGAGGAGGACTCGTGCGCGGCTCCTCCCTAGGACGTCGGAGGGAGTGAGTAATCATGCCGGCAAGCCTGTTCAAGAGGTGGGCGATGTCTCTGAATTCATAGGGTTTAGGGATTAGGGTTTAGGAGTTAGGGTTTAGGGAATAGGGGTTAGGGTTTAGGAGTCAGGGTTTAGGGGTTAGGGTTTAGGGCTTAGGGGTTAGGGTTTAGGGCTAGAGGTCAGGGTTTAGGGGGTTTAGGCGCTCTTCGTTTTGAGCTTGGAGTTTCGGGCTTTCGTGTTCGGCCCCCCGCAGGCTAGGCACCTAAACCCCACGGCGCAGCTTCAACCCTAAACCCTAGACTACTAAACTACACCCTAGAAACCCTGAACCCTAAACCCTCCAAGCCCCAAACCCTAAACCCTAAATCCCAAACCCTGTAAGCCCTAAACCCTAAACCCTATAAGCCCTAAACCCTAAATCCCTTGAACCCTAAGCCCTAAACCAAACTGCAAAGCTCTAGAGTCCCTATGACTAGTGACTGGACCAGACCCACCCAGAAACCCAAGAAACTAAAGAACACCAGACCCGACCCTCAAAGATCTAACGTAGGGGCCTGAATAATTAGACCACTGTTTTGGGGCCCGTTCTACTACAACTAAAATAAAGAAGCCCCCAAAATAGTAGAGGTAAAAAAACAAAAACAAACTAAACAACTATACTATACAATATTCTAAGGTACTTACTAATGCCCCGACATTAAGCCCCGAGCCCTCCTGTCAAAACCCTCTAAAACCCTCTGCAAACCCTGAAACTCCTAAAAGACGCGCCAGATCCTGAAAACCCGAACCACCAAGTTTCGGGTTCAGGGGTTTCGGGTTAACCATAAAGCCACATGCACTAACCTCAAACTCGAATAATATAGAGGCCTAAATAATTACCCATACTATGTTGGAGGTTCCTGATTATAACTATGGCATAATGGGCCCCAACACCCTATTCTAATTATTAAGGCCCTTTTATTAATCCCAAAAAACACACAATTCTAGCAGCCTAAGATCCCTAAGCCCTTCATTCCAAACTTTTAAAAAAATTCTGAATCCCAGGAAAATCCAAAGTCCTAAACCTAAATTCCTAAAACCCCAAATCCTAACCACCCCCCCAAAAAAAATCCTACAGACCCTCCCGCTCCTCTCGTCTTCCGTCACATCAGACTGCGTCTTGCTCGGCGCGTCCAAGGCGTCCGGGCCGCTGTTGGCCGTGGACGCGTCGCTCTGACCCAGTCCGAACCCTGGCCGTTGGAAGAGCCATGGGGCCTTTATAAACCTCATATATATATATATATATATATACATATATATATATATATACACACAGATTTTAAGGTTTAGGGGTTTAGTTGTTTATTAGCCTAGGTACCTATATATAGGGTTTAGGGTTTAGGGCCCTTTATAAAACCAGAGGGTCCTAGGTACCTATATAGGGTTTAGGATTTAAGGGTTTTGAGTTTCGGGTTGAGGGCTTAGGGCTTTCGGGTTTTGGGGTTCAGGGGCTGTAGGAGATTGGATTAGGGGGACCCTTGGGGATATAGACCCTCTCAATAAAGGCCCTTGCAAGAGAGCCATAAGTAGGGTTACAAAGGGTCCCCTTTAAGGGGTCTGACCTAATGCTACCAGGCTAAACGCGATGCAAACCCTCTGGAGCAGCGAAACGCTTGTTAGTTCAAACCCACAGGCAAAGAACTTTAAGATTCAAGCGCAGGTGGGCATGGGTAATGTAGTGGCCTTTATAGTTAGAATAGGGTTTTGGGGGTTCCTTTAAAGGGTTCCTTAAAGGGTTCAAAAGGGGCTACGAAAAGGGTTTAGGGTTTAGGGTTTTGGGGGTTCCTTTAAAAGGTTC